CTGTGCCAGGAGCGCACTGGGGGCTGCGGGGCGCGGGGGTGCCCTGCCAGGGCTGGGGGCCCGGAGCTGGCCACCCTCGCCCCAGACCTCCCCTCCTGCCCTCTGCGGGACCCTCTGGAGCCTGTCCCCTCCTCCTCCACCCCTCCCTCTCGAGTTCTGTGGGTTCTGGTGTTTATAAGGTGCTTAGTATGGGGGTCTTTCACGGAGAGAGACAAAGCAGTGTTCCGGGAAGAGGGATCACGGGGAACCGGTTCCCGCTGATAGAACTGAGGGCTGTGCTGCACTCTGGGCATTAAGGGAGAAGGGGGAGCCGGTCCCGATGGGGTCGGGGGGCTGGAGAAGGCGGGGGGCCCGCAGCAGCCAGATACAGGATTTCGTTTTTTGGGTTGCCAGTGGGACTCTGGTTCCTATGGTCCTGACTTCTTGCCATGTTCCTCAGCGCCTGCAGTTCATCCAATCTGATGAAAATAGCAGAATGCAGATCCTTGAATTTTCACACAAATGCGATAATTATAGTACATTTAGCAACTGTGTTGGACACGGAATTCTAGCGGAATCTTTAGTTCTACTACCAAGACTCCCCCACACGTACAACCATACCCTCCTGGTCTTTTTCACATTCCTCTTTCACCTCGGGGAGAAGCTGGGTTGCAAGCTAGAAATGATGCCTGGCCAGAACCCACTTGCAGCAGGTTTGAGACTTGGGGGTTACTTAAGCTGGGACGGAGAAACCCGTGTATCAGGAGGGATGGGATCTGAGGTGGGGAGAGAGACTTTGTGCTCCCTGAGCTGGGATGAGGTCTGTGTTCCAAGGAAGCTGAAAGTTGTAAGCTGTTGGCTTTTTGCTTAGGTTGGAATGTTAGTGAGGGTTTTGGTGGCATTTTGGGGCTTGAGAAGCTCGTGAGATGAATTCTTTAGTCTTAGAGTAGGTTTGGGATTGAGACTCTGAAAATCATCCTTACATACACTTTTTCATTTATAACACAAATGCTTTCACAAATGTTGGCTATCTGTCCTCCATCACACCTGTGTCCGGAAGATATCTTTTTTTTTTTTTTTTTTTAAGGTAGACATCTTTTGCCCCTCATTTCAGAGAATTGACTGTCTTGCTGGAAAGTCACGAGAGAGCCAGGATTCCTGCCCAGATTTCTGATCTTAATCTTCACATGTCCCAGAACCCTGGGCTACCTCAGCCAGTTAACTTTTTTTGGTATTTTTTTACTATAGGTTCCATGTGCTTGCTGGAGACAGAGAGAGACAGAGAGGCAATCTTTTCTCCTCCATTCTTCTTCTAGAGTTTTGGGCGTGCACACACATGTACCTGGTCTGTTTTCCAAGCTACTAGGTCTAGGACTTGAACCTCATAGCCAGCTATGTGGAATCCAGCTGCCCTAACCTCCACACCATCTGTTGGCCCCCAGCCAGTTACTTTTCAAGTGCCTCTTGGAGATGCTGTGGGGCAGGTTTAGAAATGAGTCTGCTGCTTCCATCCTGGTCAGAAAGGGCAAGCTGATTCTCTCTATAAGAGAGCAAGGAAGTGCTCCATCTTAGGCTCGTGTGGAGGAATTTGTAGATTAGCCACCTTCTCCAGTTCTGGCAGAAGCTCCGTCGGGACTAGACATTATTATCTGCTTCCAAGATGGAGAAACTGAGGAACACTGAGTTGTGTGGTTGGCCCGAGATTACCTTACTGGATTTGAACTCGGGCCTTCTGGGTATGCCCTGCCCTTCTCGCCACCTTTGTCTGTTACCTACACAACAGCAGGGACTAGAATGACCTGAACTGGCAAAAGATTCTGGGGTAGGGGCCCAAGCCAAAAGATCAGCGGGATCCCCAGGGCCAGTTTCCTGCACTAGCTCCCTGTCCCTGGGCTGCAGGGCTGGCCTGGCCACGGGCCTCTCAGTAGGTTTCTGGAAACACAACCGGAGAAGGCAGAATGGCGGTGGCAGGACTGGGCCCTGAGATCTGAGCAACTTCAGTTTCTTAGTGCCTGCTGGGTGCCTGTCTTGCCACCCTGGAGGATCGGGGAGCCTGAGGAGGAAACAGATACGGATGATTAATCCGAGCTTCCCAAGGACAGGAACTGGGTCTGATTCGCTCTTTGCAGCCTCAGCTCTAGTGGAGGTGCCAGGAGGACACATTCAGCCATTGTATTGTCAAATTGAATTCTGCCTCTGGAGAGAGGAAGGCTTGCTTTGCCTAGGGGCAGTTAGTCTTCCCAGAAGTGTCATTGGAACATTTGAATGATGGGGCAGAAAGGCCGGAGAAAAAGGCATTCTAAGCAAAGGCTTCCAGACAGACAGGGACCCATGAAGAAGGAACAGGTCAGCTGGTATGGCCACAAAATAGGGACAGGTAAGAGTTTGGGTTCAAGTCAGGTAGGCCCTGTCACCGTTGCGGTCCCTTTGGTTCTCTGGACCTCAGTTCCCTTTTCTGAAAAGGAGCCTTGAGATTTGATGATGTTTGATGCTAACCTGTGCCTGAGGATCGAGATGAGAAACTCGGATGAAAGGAACTAGAGAGATTTAAACATTTTTATTAATTAAAAAAAAATAGTTTGCCAGAGTGCTAGAGAGAGAGAGAGTAGAAAAGTGAGAAAGCAAGCCACCAGGTCCAGGACTCGAACCATGGTTGGCCATGTGGGAGTCCAGTGCCATTAACTACCATGCCACCTGTCAGCCCCTCCTTTGCTTTTCTCTATCAGTACCAGTCCCCAGACGCCTTCCCTTCCTGCATCGTGCTTTAACTATTATACCACCTGCTGGCCTGTCAGGAGCACTTAACCTTTAGAATAATATTCCTGAATTTTCTCCACTGTCTACCTTGATCCAGGCCTGGACCGGGCAGTAACTTCCTGACTAATCTTTGGGCATCACCCCTGTCATTGATCTTTTATGTAGTAGCTAAAGGCATCTCCCTGAGAGTTTTTAAAGTTTATGTATTATTTCTTCCATGAGCAAGAGACACAGGACCCAACCGGGTCCTGATGCCATAATCCAGCTTCATCCTGCCCTGAACTGTGGGCAAGTGCATGTCCAGGGTACTCAGGGGGGCCTTAGGACACAAACCCAGAACCTTCCCATGAGGGTCAGCTTTGCAGGGCAGCACTGTCCTGCCCCCTTCTGGAGATTTAAATGAGATCGCCTTGATCCTCTGCTGAAAACCCTCCAGTGGCTCCCAGACACTCCAGCATGGCCTACGTGTAGCTCTCTGGCTGGCCTTGGCCTCCCCTCGCACCTGGCTTCCCTCCTTGGCTTGCCTTTGCCCCAGTGCTACCGCTGTGCTGGCCTCCTGTGTTGCCCTCGACCCTTCCCAGCTCAGGGCTGTTGCCCTCGCCCTACCTCTGCAAGCACACTCTTGTCTACCCTCCGTCCTCCATGGCCGCTGCGTCTCCCAGCACCTCCTTCTAAGGCCTTCCCCAAGCTCCCAGCCCATCCCCATCACTATTCGCTGTGTTTCCTATTTAATTCCTTTTTTAAAAAAATATTTATTTATTTAATTACATTTGTTATCATTATTGCTTTAATTTGACCTAGAGAGACAGAGATAGAGAGAAAGTGAGAAGGCAAACCACCAAGTCTGGGACTCAAACCTTGGTTGGCTTTGTGGGAATACAGCACCTTTAACCACTACGCCACCTGCTGGCCCTTCCTGTTTAATTTCTTTGGAACTCTCCTCTCTTCATCTCAAGTATGTAATACTGTTCATTTGTCTTCTCTGCCCTGGACATATAAGCTCCTCAAGGGCAGGAACTTTATTATTTTTTTAAAGAATTATTTTATTTAACTTTGTTTATTTTATTTTGACCAGAGGGGGACAGAGTGGGTGTGTGTGTGAGAAAGCAAGCTGCCAGGTCCAGGATTAGAACCGTGGTCAGCCATGTGGGAGTCCAGCACCCTTAACCACCACCCCATCCGCTGGCCCCAGGGCTTTATTAAGCTGTCCCTCAAGCAGCT